TCCCCCAGTTCCCAACCTTATGGGACTGGATGATCCCAGCCCCCCCCAACTCCTGATCCCATAGTAATGGACAATCCCAGCCACACAGGGCCGGTCAGAGCGAGGTCCCCAGTTCCCCACCCCACGGGGCAGGGGGTCTCCTCACCCTCCTCCTCCCGCAGGGCGGGTACTTCCCGGAGCACGTGAAGGCCATGACCAGCCTGCGCTGGCTGAAGCTGAACCGCACAGGGCTCTGTTACCTGCCCGAGGAGCTCGCTGCCCTCCAGAAGCTGGTGAGCCCCACGTTTCAGGAGGGAATGGGGCTCCACTGTCCCGCTGGAGCCGTGGGATCCGATGGGAGCCTGCTCCCTGCCAGCCCTGTGGCTCGTTGGCGGATGCTCCAGTGTCTAATAATAGGGCTGAGCAACAATGTGTGGTTGAAATCAGATGCAGGAGCTGTCAGGAGTGGGGTTGAGACAGGCTGGTAGTTGGTTTCACCTTGTTTTCCTAGAAAACCAGATGAAAAAACCGTGCTTAGATCCTATGCCCCTTAACAGATGGGAAGGGGGGTGGTTAGTGTGGAGAGGATTAAGGTTTTGGGGCTTTTTCTTTCTCTTCTTCTGCTGAAATATATAAGAAACAGGAGCTGGCAGCTGCCTGGCCTTGTTTTTTGGGCGGCTCTACCAGGCCCTTCCTTGGTGGAGCTCCTTGGTGAGCCCGTGGCTCAGCTTTGCTTTGGTGGTGTCCAGGAGCACCTCAGGAACCTCTTTCAGTTGGTTCAGTCAGACAAACACGACGCTTTAAACGCTGCCAGGAGTCCCCATCCCTGTGCCAGGTGCAGGGAATCCCTCCCTGCTGCTCGGAGCTGCGCTCCCCCTGGCCCTGCCACATGCTCGGGGGACACGGCGAGACTTAAATCCTTAAATCCTGGCATCCCGCCCCCAGCCTGCCAATTCCTCGTTTTCCTGAGCAGGCAACAGCCTGGCTGGTGATACCCAGAGGAAAACGTTTCCCCTGGGAGATTCCTCCCACCCCCCCACCTACCCCACGTCTGCCCATTTCCAGATCACCCTGTGGGAAGTGTTGATTTCCCGTTTCCAAGCACTGGGATCTGTTTGCTCAGAGACTGTGTGGGACTACCACAGGCCAGCCTGGTGGCATCTCAGAGCAGGGCTGGGGTGTCCCAGCCAAGGCTACCCCGGGAATGAGGGATATGAGGGCAGTGTGGGCATGCTGGGGCCAACCAACCAGTTTGAGACTGGGAGTGTCCCAGCAGCTCTGTGAGGGTCAGGGCTTCCAAGTCCCCAGTTCTGTTGGAATGGAGGAGCCCCCACATCCATGTGGGGTCCCAGCTGTTGCTCTGAGCAGCCCTGGCTCCTCTCACTGGGGCTTGTTTGGGGCTTCCCTGCAGGAACATCTCTCCGTGAGTCACAACAGCCTCACCACGCTCCATGGAGAGCTCTCCGGCCTGCCCTGCCTCAGGGTGAGTGTCCCCCTCCTGCACCAGGTGTGCCCAGGCACCTCTCGGATCTGGGAGCACACAAGGATCATACCTGGCCGCCTTGGGATGCTCAGCAGGCGGCTGAATTCCTGCCTGTCTCCCCTTTCCAGGCCATCGTGGCTCGTGCAAACAGCCTAAAGAACTCAGGAGTCCCTGATGACATCTTCCAGCTGGATGACCTCTCGGTGCTGGTGGGTGCAGAGTCTCCTCCTGAATCCCATTCCTGCACCTCAGTGTCCCCTTGTGCCCCTTGAGGAGCACCAGTCCCAAGCCCATGCCTGAGTTCCAGGGAAGCTGCCTGTGGGTTGGATGACCCTTTGGCAGTGCCTCCAGCCATAGCTGGGTTCCCCATATGCTGATCCAGGTCCTGCTGCAGTGCCCCCAGAGATGCCCCTCACTCCTCAGGTTTGGGAGGTGGTGGCTGGATGCAGGGCTGGGGGTTACACCTGCTTTTGCTCCCGTATTTCCCAGGACCTGAGCTACAACCAGCTCACGGAGTGTCCCCGGGAGCTGGAGAATGCCAAGAACATGCTGGTCCTCAACCTTGGCCACAACAGGTGGGTCCAGACCTGGGGTGACCATCTCCCCCTGGCCACAGCCACCTCCATCTGTCACCGGGTGCTGCTCTCTGCCCCTCCTTGAAGGAGGCCCAGGGCTGGTGCAGCTCCCAGGCAGTCCTGCATATCCCCATATTTCCACAGCATAGACACCATCCCCAACCAGCTCTTCATCAACCTGACTGACCTGCTCTACCTTGACCTGAGCGACAACAAGCTGGAGAGCCTCCCACCGCAGATGAGACGCCTGGTCCACCTCCAGACCCTCATCCTCAACAACAACCCCCTCCTGCATGCACAGCTCCGGTAAGGCCCTGCTTTCCAGGCTGGATCCCAGTCTGCTGGTGCCTGCTCCATCCATCCTGAGGCTCTCCCTGACCCGTGCTCCACAGGCAGCTCCCAGCAATGACGGCCCTGCAGACCCTCCACCTCCGGAACACCCAGCGCACGCAGAGCAACCTGCCCACCAGCCTCGAGGGCCTGGTGAACCTGGCAGGTAGGCCCAGGGCCCCATGGAGCCCTGCAGGGGCTCTCCCAGCCCTGCTATGGGTCTGGCTGGTGGTGTCACCGTGTTGTCTCATCCCCCAGACGTGGACCTGTCCTGCAACGACCTCAGCCGTGTCCCCGAGTGCCTCTACACCCTGGGCAGCCTGCGGCGCCTCAACCTCAGCAGCAACCAGATCACGGAGCTGTCCCTCTGCATCGACCAGTGGACCCAGCTGGAGACCCTCAACCTGTCCCGCAACACGCTCACCTCCTTACCTGTATGTCCCTTTCCATACGTGCCATCCCTGCCCGTGCTTCCATGGTTCTCCCTCACCTCGCCTTCTCCCCTTTCCCCAGTCGGCCATCTGCAAGCTGACCAAGCTGAAGAAGATGTACCTGAACTCCAATAAGCTGGACTTTGACGGGATCCCCTCGGGCATTGGCAAGCTCACCAACCTCGAGGAGTTCATGGCGGCCAACAACAACCTGGAGCTCATCCCCGAGAGCCTGTGCAGGTAGAAAACAGCCCACAGCTGGATCCCAAGAGGGGACACACAGACTGTGGTGACAGGACGTCACCCTGGGCTGGCCCATCACCAGTATTGCTGTCCCACAGGTGCTCCAAGCTGAGGAAGCTGGTGCTGAACAAGAACCGCCTGGTGACACTGCCGGAGGCCATCCACTTCCTGACGGATGTGGAGGTGAGCACCCAGCACCCCCCTGCCTTGGGCTGGCTGCACCACAGCCCCAGTGCATCCCTGGGATCTCAGGGCTGTAGG